TACATTCCCAACAGCTTAGAAGAGTTTCTTTTGCCACATCAACTTGCCAATAACTGTTTATAAGTCATATGTACATATGCACACATAGATGATTGCTAGATAAATAGATATTTAAGCTAAAAACAACCAAAGACCTAAATGTAAAACCCCATACTCCGAAATCACTAGAAAAACATTATGGGGACAGCATTTTCAAACACTGGCTGCAGGCAATGATTTTCTGACTAGGAACCCCCCAAACTCGGGAAAGAATAGCAAGAACTGACAGATAAGATTTTTATCAAATTGATAAATTCTGCACAGCGGAGAACAGCGGGGTGTAGACATCCCACAGAATGGGACATGACATTTACCAACTTTTTGTCTGAAAGCTCATATCCAGAACATATAAAGATGTCAAGGACTGGAGACGTTGCTCAGTAGTAAGCAATTGCTTAGTGTGTATAAAGATTCTGGGTTCCATCTCTAACATTAGGAAGAGAAAGCTTTGTCTTCCTTGGTGGGAGTTCATGGTACCCAAAATCAATTTTGAAAGTAAAATAAAAGATCGCTGGTCAACATAGCGGGTACGATAATTATAATGAAGATCACCGAACTAGTATGTGAGCGACTAGAACTAGCCACCGAAATGTGGCATATATGTAGCGAGCATATATTCTTGGGACTCAATGACATTGATAGCCTTGATCAACGTAAGTTTGCTTAAACTCTTTAATGTGAAAACTTAAAGAAATTAATTAATAGTAAAGTGCAGAAAAAAAACGGAGCACAATAAGCAAGTCTCTGCCTAACGTGTGCCAGGAGTTGCTTCTCAATTGCTAAATTAATCATTCCGCTTAAGATGAGGCTTCACTTCTCTCATTCGTTAAGTGATGTCCTGCCTCCCAGTGTAGTGATCTGATAAATGCCGCGTTAGAGACAAGGCTTCCTTTCCGGGAACATCTTTAACGTTTCTTCTCTTTCCTGTGAACCTCACATGACCAGTTAACAGATGATATCAGCTCAATGCTACCCTAAGAGGCCAGGGTTAAACTCAGACTAGGGCGGAACCTGGCACTTCCTCATCTCCAAGTCCGTGTCTGTGTCCTCTGCTGCATCAGTACCTGGTCTAGAGGGACAGCATTGCAGTCCAGGAGAGGTCACACACACACACACACACACACACACACACACACACACACACACAC